GCAAGTGCCACTAATATGAGCAAATGCCACTGATCAGTGGCACTTGCTGTTGGGCAAGTCCACTGATCAGTGCACTATTCTAAGCATGAAAACGTCTAAAAATAGCAACAACAAGTGCCAATAGCAACCATGTGCACCATGCACATTTGACATCATCCTAAAATGATCCTAATACATGCACGTATAACAATCAACACAAACCCTAGCATGAACACAACTACTAGCATTAACACATATCCTAAGACACACTAGCAGTAGCAGAAAAAAATTATCCTAGGACACACACTGTAGGAAACAAGAATAGATCACTCCGATTGGATTCGATTAGGATCCCATCCAATCGGATCTACTCAAATCCTATCTAATCCGATCGAATCCACTAACTACTAGCACATGCCTAAGAAAATAAACCCCTAATCTACATCTACGAGCAAGTATTGGGGGTTTGACTCACTAGAGCTTGCGCAGCCGCAGTGAACCGAGGCCGGGGTGAAAACCTCGGCGGGAAGGAGAGCAGTGGCGGAGTAGAGGAAGAGCCGTCCCTGGCGATGGGCTGCGGCATCGTCCCCATGCTCATGGCCACGCCAGAGGTCGTGAACGATGGCGCACCGACAGGAGAAAACCCTTGGACGGGGGTCAAGAAACCCCCCCCCCATGCCCAATGGGGTCCCAAGAAACGGCGGCTCCATGGACGGCGTCGGCGCCGAGCCTAGGAGCACGAGGTCCGAAATCGGCGGTGGAGCAGGAACGACCGGCACCGCATTGACTGACCCTCATGGTGGACGGCAGCAGACGGGGACGACGCTCGCAGCACCGACGCCAGGTCCCTGCCCGAGTTCTAGAGCCCGGTCAGTCAACGCTCCTGGATGCTGGCAATGCGCTGGTCGACGGGGGTTAGAGGGCGGCACGGCGGTGGGCGAGGCAGAGCCATCGGAGGGGAGGAGAGGAAGAGGCGATGAGGCAGGAAGGGAGCGGTGGAAACAGTGCGGGCTGGGCGGTGACAGGAGAGTGGGGGGTTATGAGCTGTCACTTTCCTCTCCCGCGCTGCCCAAGACGTGCAACCCCCTGCACGCGTGGTCGTGCCGAGCCAGGCTCGCGAGAAACTGCCGATTCGACAGTTTCCGCCGGGCCAGGCTCCGACCTGCTTTAAGTTTCGTGCGGGCCACTACCCGCATGCAGTCCAGACAACCAAACAGGCTACGCACATCCCGTGCGGGCCTGGTTGGGCTTCATGCGGGTAACCAAACGCGCCCTGAGAGCTTCAGCATTTCAGTCCAAGCACAAGGCATCGTATCACGCCTAGTCAGAAGCAACTACTACATGCCGATAGTGCCCTCCTTCTACGTTGGACATCTCAAAGCCTCGTGGGTTTGGAGGTGTTGCCACCCTCCGACGGCAGGTGCTGCCCCGCGAACCGCCTTTCGGCATGGTGACCCCGATTAGCGTTGGCTCCTCATCTTAGTTTCCAAACACAACGGCTATGGGATTGCTTAGCCACGGCGCGGGTAGAAATCCCCACTCGGCTAGCTGGTGCTGGCAGCGACGACGTCTGCAGATGTCGTTTTCTTGGAGGCGCTGCCAAGACCTTCAGTTGTGCCCCTCTTAGAGCTCAGGGGAAACCCTAGGTCTAGTTCGGACTGGATGGCGACGGCGTCTTGGCGTTGTCTTTCTTTTTAAAGGTGCTATCTTGCTCGCTCGCGGTATCCCTAGTTTTGCCTCTGTCAATGATGTTCTTATTGGTTGCATTGCCGCTCTTGGTTCAGACTTGATAGGTTTAGCTGTGATGTATCCTATGTACAGACCGATCATCCATCGTCTCTCTGTTTTGGATAGCATGTTCACGTCTAGCTGCGTTCGTGTCATGTGTTGGACCTCTATATGTACTCATTCTACTCTTTCTATCCGTGCAATGATAGACAAGATTTGCGTATTTTTTTTAAAAAAAGATAGTTCCTTCCTTCACGTGCAACCAAAATTCATAAACAATAAAAACATGAAATGCACTTTTTTTATTGCTTCGGCCGTGTGCGGTTTATATATAAAGCTGGACGAAAGCCTTTTTTGTGGACCTATATAAAAAAGATGCATTGCATCGAACGGTAAAACTAAAGCGCATGTGTAGTTTCTACACCTAGAAGCAAATGCTCCCGGTGTGAATAGTAAAAAAATCAAAATTAAAAAATTCTGAATTTTTTAGTGGCATACTTTCATAAATGTTTGTTGTGCATGCAAAATTTCATGGCAAAATCACATTGATAGAAGGCGTGGTAAAAAAACAAAATCGATGCTTTAAAAATGTTATTTACAAAAGCATTTGGAGCTGATTTTTTTGGCACGACTTTCATCAATGTGATTCCGTTATGAAATTTTGCATGCACAACAAATATTTATGAAAGTATGTCCCGAAGAAATTCAGAATTTTTTGTTTTATTTTTTATTTTTTCAATTTTACTGTTCACACCAAAAGCATTTGCTTTTGGGTGTAGAAAGATACTTTCAAAAACTATTTTTTTCTAGATAAGTATAAATCAACTCTTTTACCAAAAGTGTTCGTTTGATCCTGAGCTCATACGCTCCCGCATGAACAGTAAAATAAAAAGAAATAGTAAAAAATTTAAAAAAATCTGAATTTTTTATGATAAACATTGATGAATGTTTTAACTGCGTGCAAAATTTTAGGCTGAAATAACATTCATAGAGGTATGGGCAAAAATAACTAAATCGATGCTCCAAAATACTTCCAACAATAGTCTTTTTGAAATATCGTTCTTTTTTGCCCAGACCTCCACGGATGTCATTTCAACCTAAAATTTTGGACGCAGTTAAAAAATTTATCAATGTTCATCACAAAAAATCAGTTTTTTATGTTATTATTATTATTTTAATTTTATTATTCATGCGGGAGCATATGAGCTCGGGATCAAATACTTTATGTCCCTCTTCTACTGACAACTACATTTAAGTACTAAGTAATATCAACGACACTCACGGGGATTGCAGAAAGAGAAGAAATAATTCAATTGCGCAATGGCAATGTTGTAACTGCATCGGTCATGGCTTAAGATTTAATAAACTGGTTACTCAAATAATATTGAATCAATCGTTACTCAAAAAACAATTTAAATTAATCTTTACTTTTCTAATTTCTAAAAGTCACCTATCAAATCTTATTTTTTGCGAGGAACATATTTTAAACAGTTAAAATGATTGAAAAGTTGTACCGTGTTAACAACTTAAGGTGAGAGTTGAGAGCAATTCGTGAGTGTCGTTCTGCTACCGTGTGCATATGCACCTAGGATGAACAGTAAAATACAAAACAAAAGTAGAAGGTAAAAAAAACTCTTGGCTCCATAAGCACTGGGATGAACAGTAAAATACAAAACAATAATAAAAGCTTAAAAATGACTTTGAAGAAAAAAAGATAAAATCTACGCTCCAAAATGTTTCAAAAAGTAATACTTTAGAGCATCGATTTCCCCTTACCCACTGAAACAATGCAGACATGTGAAACATTCAACAATGTTTGTCACCACAAATTCTATTTTTTAAAATTTATTGTATGTTTTACTGTTCATCTGAGTTTACATTTTTACTGTTCATCTGAGAGCAGGATCGCCCGTTAAAGCTGAGATCCATGTGTGGGGTAGGGGACAGAAATGGCCGGAGTGTTGCAGTACGGAAGGGCAGAAATGAACTCCACAGATTGCAGAAGAATAAGCAGCACCACTGTCAGGGCAGAATTGCTGGTTTGTTTACTGCTATACAAAAATATATGTTCCGAGTGCAAGTATAATTACTACTCCCTCCGTTTACTCCCTCCGTTTAGAATTACTCGTAAATATAATTACTATTTTCTCTGTTCGGAATTACTCGTAAATATAATTACTATTTTCTTTGTTCAAAATATGTATCTAGATGTATTTTAGTTCTAGATACATTCATTTTTATGAAAGTAATTCCGTACGGAGGGAGTAGTTGTAGATACATTCATTTTTTTTGACAAATTCCGAACGGAGGGAGTAGTTCTTGTGGGGTGCTGCCATTTGTAAGGGCGGAACTGAAGGTAGCACGAATAATATGCAATTTCAGGTGCGATTCAAGCAAATTGTTGGGGCGTTAAAACAGTTTTAAGAACAGAAGAGGGATTTAGGAATTGGAGCGGCAGCATAGAAGGAATCGAGGATCATCGTGTTCAAGGCAGTAATATGAACGACGTGGACTCCAAATCAGAAGTCCTTGAAGGTGAAGACGAAGCAGCGCAAGTAGACGGCACAAGAACCAACACAAGAGATCTATTCTTAACTCCCTCTCCAGAGGAGATGAGTAGCAGATATGCAGCTTATTATTCATCGGGGGTAAGTAGCACCGCTCGCAGGCACGTCCCTACATATAGAGGCGTCGATCCACACACACACTGGTAACGCATAGGAGGGCAAATGACAACATGTCTACGGCGTTCGTGCCTGGTCGAGGCGATGCTGCGCCCAGTTCTTCACCTCGTGCGCCTTGGAGTCCAGCTTCGCACCGGCGTGGTCCACCGTGTCGGCCCCCGGCGGCGAGGATGCGCCGTGCGACAGATACTTGTACATCCACGCCAGCACGCCCACCGCCGCCGCGCCGAACGCCCCCGACGACACGAACCCGGCCGTCAGCATCGTGACGGCTATGGCCGCGGGCACCAGCACGGGGCTGAAGAGCACCAGCAGCGGCGTCGCCACGATGAGCGCCAGCACCGTGCCCGTCAGCGTCAGGGCCGACAGGAGCAGCATCGACCCGGCCGCCGCCGCCGCGGCCACCCCCTTCGCGAGGGTGACGGTCGCCGGCTGGTTGTAGCCCTGGCCGTGCCCGCCGTAGTAGTCGTCGTCGCCGCGGATGGCCCGCATGTAGTCCGGCCCGATGGCGCTGCCGCCTCCGTGCACGCCTCCCCGGTGGAACGCTTGCTCTCCAGCCATGCCTGTAGGCAGATGCACACTTGAAAGCTTCGCTGCTCCGAAACCTGAGCCTCACCTGAGAAATGCGATAGCCAAATGCGCCGTGGGTTTCTCGGCGAGATGGATCGTGGTATATAAGATGCGATGTGGGCGAGAGTGTGGACGAAGGCGGTGGAGCGAGTCTCGGACATGTGGCCGCATACCTCGGGCACGTGTCGAGGGGCGCGATCTGCATGGATAGCGATGCCTCAATCCATACCACGTACGTGCCAACTTGCAGGCTCCCGGCGTCCTCTCGTCCTACGTGTCGCGAATGCAGTACCCTTTCCGCGCCGCTGAGCTCGACGAGCAGCCTGCAGGACAGGGTTTCAACATGACGTCCTCCATCGATGGTGTGCCCGTTGCCTTGCCGGCCCACGCGTTGAGCTGGATGCCGCTTTATAAATTTTCACTTAAGTGACGTTTGGCTCTCGATAATTCTCGAACTCAAATTCTGTTTTAACAGGTTTTTGAATTCGAGTGCCACGGTATATTGTTCTTTTTAGGCTTCAATTGGTAACCTTGTAAGTTTCTTTTTCCTTTTATTTTTGATGTGGTAAACTTGTAAGTTGATACGCCTGTAAGCCCTAACTTAAGTTAGAGAAAAGTGGATGCAGCGATTCGGCGCTCGAGCCCAGCTTTCCCGAAATCGTCCGCGTTGGCTGCGGTTTCGGGATTCTAACAAAATTTGCACGAAAATTACAGTCTTGATCGTGTGATGAGAGACTTAAATGTGAGTTACCTATTTCATGTCTAGATGTAAAATGCTTCCTCCGTCTCAAAATAAGTGTCTCAAGCTTAATACAACTTTGTACTAAAGTTAGTACAAAGTTGAGACACTTATTTTAGGACGAAGAAAGTAGCATCTCATCTAGATGTGTTTTAACATGTCATCAACATATTCTCTCAAAAACCAGATGACACATGTGGTAAGCAATCCAAACCATTGAAAAAATATACTCCCTCAAAAACATGATGTTACCATACATTATTGTTGACCAACCCATCATGACTAAAAACAAGGGTCGCCCACAATGCGCTTCTATGGGGGCAGACCCAGCACGTCTCCGACACGCTCGCTATGTTTTTTTTGCGGGAAATCATGAGAACTTTGTTCAAACAAAAGAGCTCCTGGTATCATCAGCCATCAGGCTACTGATCAGGAACGAGGGTTTAGAGTTGAGCCAACTCTCAGTCACCATCAACGAGCTGGCACGCTTCGCACAAAGATGGACCAGAATATTAGCAGACATGTTTACATGTTGAATAACAAAGAAATCAAAAGACAAAGCATGTTCTCCAATCTCTACAAGTAAAGGGGCCACAACCGAACGAGAGTTGTGGCAAGTGTTCCAGAAATTCACAATCTTCAGACAGTCGGTTTCCATTATCACATGTGTGAATCCTCGCAAGCAAGCAAAGAGAACTCCCTCCCTTAGTGATAAGGCTTCGGCAATGAGTGGGTCTGTTACTCCCACATGTGGTTTGCACCATGAAGCGAGCAACGCCATAGAATAGCGAGTCCTACTTCAGAATTTACTGCACCATCAACAATGATCTTAATAAACCCAATATCAAGGGGGTCGTCAGCCATGCCCTGGCAGTATAGTCGCATGTGAAGCAGGTATATCTAGTAAGGCCATATCTTCTCTTATGTGACGAACATAGTACACCAAATCCACATGTTCCTTCTGAGTCCACCGGTTCCGTCAATGCCAAATAGCCCACATCACCGATATGATCTTTTCTCTAACTTGATATGTGAACCTATCATCACATAAAATATCTCTTGCCCAAGTGGTACGATGCAGCCTTGGAAGAAGGAAGTCCGACCATATTTGCGCTTCATCCCAGAATCTGTGTGCATGGAAACATGAGACCAATGCATGCATGAGATCTTCCTCTCTAGACAAGCAAACATTACAAATGCTAAGAGGTTTAATGTGTTTATGCTTCAGGGTAGCTTCATCGGGGAGAATTCCACGTAGCACTCTCCACCAAAATACCCTCACCTTAGGCACAACTTTGAGCTTCCAGAGAGATATCCACATCTGTTGTTTTGATTTTAAGGTACCGGTAACTGTCCCTTCCTCTAGAGCAACACACTCTTTTTGATTCACGAGAGTATGGTACGCCGACTTTACAGAGCACATGCCTGAATTTTCAAAAGCCCAGGCAAAGAAATCATCCCCACCACCAGTACGTATTGGTATATTCAATATAGCTTTTGCATTCGGGGCTAGGAATGTCGCACGGACAAGCTCCGTTTTCCATGTCCAAGTACCATCATCAATGAGCTGGTGCACTGAATGTTTGCGAACGCTACCTCCTTTAGCCAAGCGTCCGTCGTAGTACAAATTGTGTATTTTTTCCATTTTCTGATTTTTTTTCCTTTCTCTTGTAGGTTTAGTTTTTCTTCTGCTTTTCATCTAGCTCTTTTTCGTTTTTATTATATAGTTTTCTGCATTACAAATATTGTTCCAATATATTTTGAATATTTTTCAAATGCACACCAACTATCTTTTCATATACGGTGAACAATTTCACAAATACACACTGAACAATTTCTTAAGATAGGGCGAGCATTTTGTGAAATACACACTGAACAAAAATATGATGAGCTTTTATAGTATACATTGTGCTTTTTCGTATGTATGGTGAACTTTTTTTAATATATACGATAAACCTTTTACCAATACACGCGGAACAATTTCAAAAATGCACACTGAACATTTCCAAAAAGAATAAATAAATAAGATAAAAGAAAAAATAAAATAAAAAACCAGTCGGAAAATAAAAAAATCACATATTCAAAAAGTGTCCGTGTTTTTTTAAGTTTGTGACTCAAAATTTTTCCGTGACTTTGACACATGTTAGTGGCTGATTAAAGAAATGTTCACAATTTCGATAAATGTTCATGTATCCAAAAGATGTTCATGAATTCAAAAACATGTTCATAAAATTCCAAAAATGTTCCCCAATTCAAAACAATCAAGTATTCAGAAAAGGTTCATGGATTTTGAAAATGTCCTTGAATTCAAAATATGTTCATGGCAAACTCAAAAGGTAGAGCATATACATTTTAAGGTCACGTCAAATTTGTTTAGGATTGCAAAAAAGAAAATAAAAAAGTGACAAAGAGCATAACAGAAACAAAAAAAAAGCATACCATTTTCTTATACTGTTTTGATTTTCAATCAATATACATTCTATGGGTTTTTTGGGAGAAAACCAAAAAAACATACTTATGTGTAATTATGCTTACAATTGAAAAGGAACAAAAACAACAACTAGCAAGTTATTCGTTCGAGTAGAAAGATAGATATTCAAGGTTGACTAGGTGGAAAAAAACTTCGGGTCTAGTTGCAAGTCGAGGGTGGACTTGCAACTGAGGCAGAAAAACTGGTTGGGCCGAGTTGTAAGTTGAGGATGGCTTTTCAACCAAGGAAAAAAATTGGTCGGCCCAGTTGGAATCTAGTTATGGGTCGACGGTGGACTTGCAACTCGGACAAATAAAAACTTTGGTCCTAGTTGCGAGTTGATGGTGGACTTGCAACTGAGGAGAAAAAATGTCGAACTCGGTTGCGAGTAGAGGGTAGGCTTGCAACTAATGCAAAATATGGTCGGGTCCGGATCAAGCCCAGTTGCGAGCCGAAACATGTCAACAAGAAAGAAGAGCAAAACCGGTAACGAGGAGAATTACATAGTGAGCATGTGTATGATTCAAGAGGATACCAATACATCTCACCTCGGGTTTTGTGAAGTATCGCAAAGAAAAGGGAATAGCACATGATAACCAAAGGTTTACTCGAATGTCATTCCCGTACTCATAGGGATCAATATGGACGTTCATGGTTTTGCTATCGGTCATTGAAGAAAGGAGTTTGTTTCATGGATATGTTTTACCAAACCTACAGGGTCACAAGATTAAGGTAATGACGGTCTGATGACTGTTAGTAGGACGGGAGTATCAATGATTTGTTTGTGAAATACTTCCATTAATATTCAAAATAGTTTTGAGAGGAACCGAAAGCGTTTCGAGGTCACCGAAAGGGTTTTAGAGTTTATCGGGTAATAGCGGGTATTACCAATAAATAATATATAGGTGGTAAATATTTCCGGAGATGTTAAGTTAATAATAGCTAGAGGGTTTTATATTTAGTTAAATATCAACGGGTCTTAAAAAGCCAAGTGGTGGAAGGAGAATTGGGCCATAAGGGCCCAATAGGGGGAGGCGCCCCTGAAGGAAATATGGCCTAGAGGCAATAATAAAGTTATTATTTATTTCCTTATATCATGATGAATGTTTATTATTCATGCTAGAATTGTATTAATCGGAAACATGATACATGTGTGAATACATAGACAAAACTAAGTGTCACTAGTATGCCTCTACTTGACTAGCTCGTTTATCAAAGATGGTTATGTTTCCTAGCCATGGATAAAGAGTTGTCATTTGATTAACGGGATCACATCATTAGGAGAATGATGTGATTGACTTGACCCATTCCGTTAGCTTAGCACTTGATCGTTTAGTATGTTGCTACTGCTTTCTTCATGACTTATACATGTTCCTGTGACTATGAGATTATGCAACTCCCGTTTACCGGAGGAACACTTTGTGTGCTACCAAACGTCACAACGTAACTGGGTGATTATAAATATGCTCTACAGGTGTCTCCAAAGGTACTTGTTGGGTTGGCGTATTTCAAGATTAGGATTTGTCACTCCGATTGTCGGAGAGGTATCTCTGGGCCCACTCGGTAATGCACATCACTATAAGCCTTGCAAGCCTTGCAACTAATTAGTTAGTTACGGGATCATGTATTACAGAACGAGTAAAGAGACTTGCCAGTAACGAGATTGAACTAGGTATTGAGATACCGACGATCGAATCTCGGGCAAGTAACATACCAATGACAAAGGGAACAACATATGTTGTTATGCGGTTTGACCGATAAAGATATTCGTAGAGTATGTGG